TTCTTTTCTATTGATTGAATAATTTCTCCATTTTGTTTCCAGCTGGAAGGCGTACGAGTTGCCACTGCTCAACGACTTCTCCGAATGTTACAGATCTGTGCTGGTCTCGTACCGGGATTTTCTGCCTTGTCCTTTAGCTTACTGATGAGGAACTCTGCTGATGATTAGCTTCTCGTTGTGATAATTCAGCCACATTTGTCAGATTTTTTTTTCACTTCAGGCATTCATGCTGCTGCAGTTGGAATCACATTGGGGAGCCTTTGTGCCTGACTTGTCACAACCACTTATCCAGAACTGTTCCTAGTTGCTTATCTCTCAAGAAAAGCTTGATTCCTATTCAGTGGATAGTGTATAGGTGCTGTGGGGAGGGCAGTTTGAACTGGGGATTCTTATCCTTTGTTACATCTGAACGCCATTTCGTGATCAAGTTTAAGTTTCATCCACTTGGCCAGTGGCCAGGAGCTACATGTTTTTCTGAGAGAATATCAGAAGAATGGGCTACTATTTCCAAAGTCCTAGGGAAGAGGCAGCAGACTCCTGCTTCCTTCCAGTTGAAATACAGCACCTTGGACTAATGTGAAACCTTGCTGCCAGGTTTTGTCTCTCCACCAAGAAAGGAATAAGGAAGGAAGGCTGGCCTGCAGCTTCTAGATAGACCACACTTGGCAGTTAATAATCCAGCTGTGTGAGCATCTGCGCATCAAAGGGCTCAGCATTTCCATGTCTGCTACTAACTGAGGAGGAATGGACTAAAGAAGATAATCTAGCACTTTAGCTTTCTTTTAGATCTTTGAAGAAAAAAGACCTGTCAAGCCCAGGATAGCCCCAGCAACCCAGCCCCCAGGGCTGAGCAGAGTTCAGATGCAGCAGACTGGACCACAGCAGCACATAGAAAACACATGTCTGTACGTTTAGCACATGCTGTGTATAATCTCTTTACTAGCAGGTTCTTAGCAGCAGTAAGTCATGCCTTATTCTTACTGCAAGTCACTAGTGTTTGAGAGTTCTAATTTAATAAAATGAGTAATATTTAATAGTTGTATGCTCTTTGTTATGTATGTGGCACGGGCACTAAAAGCTTTGAACACTTGCTCTGGTTTCCCCTGGCAGCAAGGCTGGACCTTGCTGGCAGCTCAAACTCCCAGTTAGTTGTGCTGCACTCGTGGCTTCAGCCACGTGGTGGTGGCAAAAGCTTTCCAAATACAGCTCTTCTGGTACACCAAGTTGAGCTACCTGCCAGAATACAGTGTTTCTTGAGATGCTGGGTTTTTCTTACCCAGAATTGCATGCCAGGTAGAAATGAAGCCTAGAGAGAATGTGTTAAACTCCGCTCTGGCTCAATTTATTTAATCCCTAATAGTCTGCTTTAATGTTCCTAGGTGGAGAGCTCTAGCTGCGTGCGCTGTTTCAGTTAGCTTGTTTCTGACATCTGTCTGTGAGCAGGAAAAGCAGAAAGCAGCACTGCAGGCTTAATCAGCTGTGAGTGTTGGCAGTCTTTGCCAAGACAGCTCAGCAAGGCACAAAGCCTGTATCCTTGCTCAGAGGACACACAAATCCCAGTTCCAGTTGTATTGTTGCTGGCGGGGGAGGGCTAGGTTGTTTTTCAGCTGGAACAAAAGAAGCTAAACCATTCAGCTGTGTTATGATGCCCAAAGGGGCTGGACTCTGGCTAAAACCCAAAGGAGAAAGACATGTGCAAACTGTCGTGGCTGTGTAAGGAAGATTGGAAGCTTAATGGGCATGCCCTACTTTCAGCTAGCTTTGTGATTCTGAAGGTACTAACCAGGACTTGGCCACCAGAGAGGGGCAATCATGCTGAGAAACAAGTTTTTGTGTTGGTTATGCTGTCTCAGCCTTGCTCTTGATTTGGATCCCTCAAAATAAAGGAGACCATGGTTTATAATAGACTGGTTTCGATTTGCTCTTGATTTGCAGGTGCACTCTGGGGGAGGGAAGGAAGGAATGTGGCATGAAATGAGCCACTCTTTCATGTCCTCCACAATTGCTGTAAGACAGGGAGACTTTTCCATCTCCTAGGTCACTCTCCAGTTGACTAATAACTATTGGACTGCGGTAAAATCCCTTTGGCCTCGAGTAATTTCTCTGTGTTTTCTGAACTAGTGAAAATGAAACTTTTTTTTGGTCCACCCAGAATGCTTTGTAGCAACCCACACGTGCTACTGTCCATTCCTGCACCTTCAAACAGATTTTTTTCCACTGTTATGTTTCAGATGTGGTATTTCTTTCCTTCTACTACTTTCAAAGAAGAAAGATGCTGGTTTTACTTCCTACAGGTGGCTGAATCTCAGCTGGTACAAAATAAAATCTAGTTCCTTAAGAGCAGCATCTTGCTTCACCTTGGGGCAAATATTTTTCTTACTCTTAGGAGAAAGTATTTACTAGAACTGGCAGGGGAAGTGGAGCGTGTCTAAGAATATGACACTGTGTCTCAGGTCCATCATGTTTTACAACCCAAAGTAGTTGGGACACATCTAAAGCTACATCTTCCACTATGTAAATACCTCTAGGAACTGTCAGCTATTAGTTTAGACAGGCCATAACACTGCCCTTACTTCCAGAGAAGACAAGGCAGCTGAGGATATCTTTCATCTTCATGGAGTAGCCAGGGCTAATGTTTGATAAAGGTCTTGTGAAAGTAGTACTTGGATTGGGATCAGAGGCATGGAAGGCCTGAAGCTGAATTAAGGCTAGTGACTCAGGTTCTGTTGTGTTCAAACATCACGAAAGAGCTTGCCAAGCTGACTGAAATCTAAACCTACAGAAACATTTTGGAACTACTTGCTTTCTCTTTTCTCTGTTGCCTCAGTTCCCTATCCCTCTGGAGATTTTCAAAGAGAAATCCCCCTCTGTGACAAAAGTACCTATAAGCATTGCTGGTTTGACTCTTTCAGTTTGTGGATGTGTTTCTCTTTGTCAGTTATGTCAGCAAAATTAGTGTAAAAGTGATTTAATTAGTATAGAAAACCTCACACCAGTTGCACTTTGGTCATGACTGGTTTTTCTTGGATGGAACTGAATGAGGTTGTCATACAGTCTCTTCTGCTATGATAGGTTGACCCACAGGATTTTACCTTCAATCCAGTCACTTGAAGAAGATTTTGTATCCTCAGCCTGCTGGGCAAATGGCTCATGGAGGTGCTCTGTGAGAGATTTCAGCACAAATCAGCTTGGTTGGCATTATCTGTTGGGATTATAGCTCTCGACTACTTCAGGTTTTCCAAGGGAAGGGGTTTTTTTCCCTCACTTTGCCGCACCAGCAGTTAAATTAGACCAGCTTTTAAGCATAAGACATGATATGCTCAGTTTATGCCAACAGGAGAGAAAGTCTGTGTACTGATGCGGCACCCCTGGTAATAGATCTCTCTGTCCTGGAACAAAGATCAGAGATAAATCCAGCCCTGGGGATTTATTTGTCCCTTCCAAACCTTGAAATTGGTGGTAGAGGTTTAGATTCAAGGCCACCTCTAATATTTGCTTTGGGGTCTGTTTAAAACTGAATGTCTTTGCTTGCCAAGACTTTCGTTTGAAGGGAGTGGCTGGGTTAGGTCAGAAGTGGTGCTCAGCAGCTGTGGTCAAGCTGTAAGAGCTGCTTGGTAGCTCTCATTGTGACCACTGTCCACAGCAGTGATGGACAAGAGGACCCCTACTCTGCTGCCTGGAGCTGACCTGCAGAGCTGTGGCAGAGGTACCTGCTCTCCTGGCAAAGGCAAGAGAGATGCTTCCTCCTTTGGGGTTTTTAACTTGTCTTGATTTTCCAGGAGCACTGGGCTTTGCTCTGGCTGGATTCCAGCTGCTCTGTTTCCATTCAGCTGGCCCAGATCCCCTGACAGTCTTATCTGTACTCTGAGTGTTCTCCACTTCCCATCTTAAGCTGGTGTGCAGCATGTTGCTGTGGGCTGCTGAACAACTGCCACTTTCCATTCAGTGGCCAGCTGTCCTTCACTGGTGGGGAAAAGTGATTTATATGCAAGAGAAAGCAATAGCTGGCACAGCCCAGAGCTGGGAGCCAGAAACACTGGGTTCGTTTCACCTCTGTGGCTGACTTTTAGCATGACCCTGGGCACGCGTTGTGTCAAAAATTCACTGTGCCTCACTTGCTCTGCCTCTATAGCAGGAGCTGTCTCCACCGAGGGGGTGTAATGAGGGCAAATTGACATTGCTTTGGGGTCGAAAATCTGGAATTGAGTGGAAACATTCAGAAGTAACCATTTTTTCTTATTCGGCAGAGTTTGACTTTTACCTAAGTTCTGTGGGGGAGTTTGGTGGGACCTGCCTGCTGGGCACCTCCTGAGATTGGCCGTGTTTTGTGCTGCTTACATGCCTGACTCTGCCGCAGGGAGGCTGCCTGAAACTGAGCTGTGATCCTTCTCAGAAGGCACTGCGGCATGGTTGGGTTTTGTTGTGAACTGGAACGAAACCACCCTCTGAAATGCTGAAATTCCCTGCACAATTCAATTATCCTTGAATTGGCCAGTGGGAGAAATTAAATTCTCTGGATCTCTTCCTCATTGTTAAATATTAATACAGCACAGCGATGCCAGGCAGGATGGCATCCCCTCGGGTCAGCTCTGTGCAGGAGGGGCTGTCTTGGCTGTGAAGAACCGGTGAGCGAGAGAGGTCGGGCACAGGGGACTTCGGAGTGATGTGACTTGCTCAGACTCCTTGGCAGCTGAGTAGTGTGGGCTCCTGGCCCATGCTGGGCCACGTTTCCTTTGCCACAGGCTCCTTGTGTGAGAGCTGACACGTGCCATGATGCTGACATCCCTCATCCCCTCGAGCTTACCATGTGGTGGGGCATTTTGAGAGGAGCCAGGAAAGGCACCGTGCCCATCCCCCCCACACCCCGCCGCCTCCTTTGCCGAGGGAAGTCAGCGGTGTGTGAAAGAGAGCCCATGTTTTACATACGTGCAGGCTGCCTCCTCGCCGCGGCCCAGGTGCAGCTGCGGGCAGGGTGCAAGAGCCCCGTGGGCTCTGTGCGTCACGGGAAGGAGCGCCGAGGTGGGGCAAGGACAAAAACAATGAGAGAGAACACCTCCCCTTGGGAAACTCGGCCCTGGTGCGCAGGGGCTGCTCTATTCTCTGGATCCCACCGCTTTCTCAACACTACAACAAGCTGTGCCAGGACCAGCTGAAGCACCTGTGCTCAGGCACACTGGAAAAACCTAAAAATCCCAGCTACCATTAAACATGCTAAGGAGGCTTTCCCTGTTTTCTGGGGAGTATTTTCCTTTTCTGTCTTACTGTGGAAGTTCTCTGGCCCAGCTCTGTGCTCACCCTGCAGTGACAGGGTGATAGTGCCGTGCTGCAACTGGGCCTGCCTTGCTCCTGCCCTGTGCTGGAGTTGTTGAAACACCCTGTGTGTTTGTTGAGAGTTGGCAGTCCTTGAGGCACTATCGTTGTCTGCACTGGTCAGCTCAAAGCTCTCTGGAACCTCTGTGCTGGCCATTCTCCTAGGTTTGACAGTAGCATTGGCATTGCCCCAGAGTGAACATTCAAATTTCGGGCCCCACTGCTGTTCTTTTTCTTGCTCTTCCAGAGATCACAGACGTGAAGTCAGGGCTGCATTTGGCTCAGCTCAGTATGTAATGATCTGTGGCTCGTGCAGCAGTGGAGCATCTCTCTTCATTGCAACGCACCAGCATCAACTAATTAATCCTCATTCCTCCGTGGGACTGAGGGGTGACTCAGTGCCTCATGCTGTTATCCTGAGCAGCAGAGGATCAAAGGCGTTGGAGCTGGGGAAGCCCTGGGATAGCACAGTGTCACTCTGTGCCTGCACACCAGGTATCTGTAAAGGCTCAGTCTTGCACACGTATCTCCAGGGCTCCTTTTTAGCCATGTGGGGGACTGAAAACTCTACAACCTTAGAGACAGGGCTGGAGCTGCCTTTGCCTCACTCTTCAGGGAATGTTTTTACTACTTGATGTTCCCTTTTTACCTTTTTCTTCATTACAACACAACTTGGCCATCCTGAGCCATTCTTCCTTCTGACCTACAGGTCCTTCATGCCACC